AATCAACTATTTTTGAGACTTGTTTTAGGTCTTTGTTGTTGTTGTTAAGTGCTGTCAAGTTGGTTCTGATTCATTGCGACTGTGTAGGATTTCAGAGGAGCAGCTGGGGAGTTTGAATTGCCAATCGTGCTGTTCAAACCAACCTTGCAGTCCAGTGCTTATCCTACAGCACACCAGGATTCCCTTGTTGTTGTTGTTTTTAAGTGCCATCGAGTCGGTTCTGACGTATAGTGACCCTGTATAGGGTTTCCGAGGAGCAGCTGGTGAGCTTGAATTGCTGACCTTGCAGTTCAAATGGCTTTGCAGTCTGGCGCAGTAACCCACAGCGCCACACCGGGACTCCTAGCATGTAGTACAAATTTTCAAAATGCTTCCTGTGTGCTTGAAAAAGGTATGTGAGGGGGTTTCAAAAAGCTCTGGAATAGAAGAGAATGTAATTTTCCACTATATCTTGTTACTTCTTTTGTTCAAGTATGTATCTTGACTGTTTTTTAGCTTGTTCATACTATTAGTTACTGAAAGAAGTGGCAAAAGTCTCCCATCAATGATTGTGAATTTGTACATTTTTCCTTTAAAACGACAGCTTTTATGATTTAAGTTTACAGAGCAAGTTGATTTTCCATTCAACAATTTGTACATTTTGATTTGTGACACTAATTACAGTACCTATAATGTACTCTTCCCATGGTTTTTGTTCCTTAAACTTAAAAAATCTTATTAGGTACTAACCTAAAGCTCTGTCTTCCCAGTGGTTCCTGTTCCCTGAAATGTAGATGTAATTTTAAAAAGGTGTTTGGTTTTTTTCATCCTGCTTAGTGTTCTTTGGGCCTTTAAGTCTACAAACTTGTACTTTTTATTTCTGAACAATTCTTTCTGCTACTTCTGAAATAAAGTATGTATTAATACTTTTCAATAAAGCCTTGAAGTTCTGAGCGTTTTTATTTTTAATGTGAAAGTTTTAATAGCTTTTTTGTTATCTTTAAAAATGTCTAAATATTTCACACATGTGTTTGATAATGCATGTGAAGCCTGTGTCTGTTCATTTCTGCTGGTTTTTAATTCAACTTGCCTTTTTTATTTTATGTGACTACTTGTTGATCATTGCTCCTGAAATATAGATGTTAATTGAAGTCCTCTTAAAGTTTTGTGCTGTTTACTGTCAGGTCTCTGGTTATATAAGGGCTGTCTGGGGCCATAACTTGTCTTGGATGTATTTTCTTCAACTACTTTTCTCAAGGCTGTCTCTACAGTCCCTTGTGGTTTGGGGAGTGGTGGGTTTAAATCTGGTTTATTTTATACTGAGTGTAGCACTTTGGGAACCTATTTTAACTTTGAAAGTGTCTCCTATAAAATCATTACTTTGGGAGGACCCTGACTGTCATCTGTCATGCCTGTAGCTGATGAATTGCCACCCAACTGTAGTGTTTCTCTCTGATCCCAAGGCCCTATTCTAAAACTGCTCTGGGATTCTATGCAGTCTTTTCCATTGTTTTGGGTGGGAAATTGGTTCAAATAACCTAACCTACCTTTACTAGGAACAGTGTAGCCCATTATGCCACTACAACATGAAAGGAACAGAAAAGTCTTATCCCACCTTTTATGTTTCTTCTGTTTTTTTTTGCTTTTTAAAATTGCAGTTTTCAAATAAAATTCTATTTTGGTTCTATCCTTTTTGATTGCCCATGACATACATATTTAATAAAAATGCAGTGCTGCAAGATAAGCATTGGACTGCTGCCTGCAAGGTGGTGGTGGTGGTTATGTACTGGTTATGTTCTGACTCATAGTGGCCCTGCATAGGGTTTCTGAGGCTGTAAATCTTTACAGGAGCAGGAAGCCTCTTCTTTCTCCTGCGGAACAGCTGATGTTTCGAACTGCTGACCTTGAGGTTAGCAGGCTGACTCATAACCACTATGCTAGGTGGTTTAAACCCACCAGTCTATATAGGCAGGTTGAGTTGGAACCAACTTGATGGTACTTACCAATATCTTGACCTTCCTCCCAGATAATGCTAGTACTTTAGGTCACTTTTATGCAGTTTTCAATTTATCTACTATTGTCTAACATTTCACCTTTAGTCCTGCAAACTAAACACTACTGATTTTCCATACTGTGGTTACCTACATGTTGTGGTGGCATAATGGACTACATGTCCAGTGTCAGCAGTTTGAATCTACCAGCCACTTCATGGCTGAATGAAACTTTCTAATCCCCTGATTTATAGCCTAAGAAACCCTATACAGGATCACTATAATTGGTACCAACTCGATGGCACACACCACCACCACCCACCCTATTAGGCATTCTTCTGGAAGATGGGGGCGAGTGTGTGCAGAGGAATTGACTCAGTTTGAATCTTGGAGAGGACCTTATGGGGGCAAAGCCACACCAGCTAATTGGACCTATGCCACAGTAGCTGGGGCAGTTTGAGACCCCTTCATGTCTTGGCTCAAACTGAAGGGCATGTAAGTGGTCCTCAGTAGCACTCAAGAGCCAGGCAAGAGGTTCTACAGCCCATTCCCAGGCACGGGAGTCCCTGGGTCTTCAAAGTTTCCTTGTACTGAGTCAGTGGTGGCAGAAGGCAGATTATGTCCCAGAATGCAGCACCAAAAAGCACTCTGAATCCCCATCCGGATGGTGCATACTTTGTTATTTAACTTGTTTCCCCTCAAGGTAAGGTTAACGTGGTGCTCAAGTACACGTGTGTGCAGGGTGGACTTAAAGCCACTGGCAAATCAATCACCCTGGCTTGAGTACACGGAAACTTCAGGTAACCTGAATGCTGAAGTCAAAACTGGTTTTACCTTCAGCAAATGGAAGATAAATCTGGGCCCTGCGGACCACAGGGAACTGATGTAGGGAACAAAGAGTAAGTACGGTCGGCTGGTCACATTTCAAAGTGAAATCACAGAAATGCTTTCCTTTTGCTTTTCCCACTTCTCCACCTTGTCTTTCCGTACCTCCAGTCACACTTACTTTACAGATTATCTTGGAGTTAGAGAAATCTGACTTAGAATTCAGTTTCTACTGAATCAGCTCCACTCAAGTATATGTTAACTTTCAGAAGAGTCTCTTTCTACTCTTGAGTTACCTAGTTAGCAGCTTTATAACTGTTGCTGGTTAAATGCCATTGAGTTGGTTCTGACTCATAGTGACCTTGTACAGGTTTCCAAGACTTGTAAATCTTTGCAGGAGCAGAAAGCCTCATCTTTCTCTCAAGGAACAGCTGGTGGGCTTGAACCACTGTCCTTGTGGTCTGCAGTCAGTGCTTATAATATGGATCCACTGCGTTCCCCAGCTTTATAACTAGCTAACAATATACAGCTTAAGAATTACATGGCTTATTTGGGCACCCCTCAAATCCATTGTTCTTCTCTTGGTGGAAGTACCACTTCTCATGAATCCTAAGCCACTAGACCTGTGGGATGATGCCCTGTTGCCCTCCTTGATTTGGATATGGTATAATACCCTCACAAAGATCTGACACTCGGAATAGCTTTCTCTGTATGCTGCTCCATCTAGTATAAGCCATAACCTGTTTACACTTGAAGAATTTCTTTCTTGGGGAGTTCCATCTTACTTCACCATAATTATTTGGCCTTCATGGTACAGAGTAAGCCCTGACTAAAGAATTCATGGCATTTTACAGCAGACAATATACGTACGCAGTACATGAAACCCTTACAATATTACATATTATGAAACAAACATTTAACAGGATTACTTATGAAACATGAATTTCATCCATTACTGGTTAAGTATTTAGCCTTTTAGTTCCTGCAATGAAATGCCCACTTCCCAGCACTCTTATACACAAGAATCCCTGAATCAATTCTTTCTGTTGTGTAAGGTGCAAAATCATGTTGAAGATGTTATTCCACCTTTATTGACTGTGCTGAAATCCAACCCACAGTGGAACCTTTGTTTTTCACCTTCATTACATATTCATCATCCCTTGAGGGAGTCCATTTAAAATTTCTAAAATGTTTCACCAATTCAACAGGATATTACAACACTAGAGCCCTGGTAGTACAGTGGTTAAGCACTTGGCTGCTATAGAAAAGGTCAGCAGGTTGAATTCCCAGCTGCCCCTTGGAAGAAAAATGTGACAAATCTGCTTCCATGATGATTACAGCCAAAGAAACTCTATGGGACAGTTCCACTCTGTCCTATAGGGTCATTATGAGTCAGAAGTGACTTGATGACATTGGGTTTTTATTACAAAATTACAATACCACATTCCGATCAGCTTGCAGTTTAAAGTCTAACTCTATTTCCTGTTAAATGTGTAACAGTCTACACTTTCTGTATTTCTGACACTGAAATGCAAATTTAGTTTTAAAAGTTGTCATTATCCCCAAACCATTCAATTATATCAAGTTCATACTTTATGATCACTATTAAATATAATCCCTGAAGCCAGTCTCTCCCTGAATTTGTCTTTTGGAGGCCCTTCTTAGACTTTTTCATTGATCAATATATAATTGAGATGCAGAGCAATACCTAGATTGGTTAAATTTATATTCACAGAATTTATCCAAATGTGAACTTTCTAATGACAATTATATGATTTCTAACTGAAGTCCTTTTCTCATCCATTTTTTTTTTTTTTAATGTCCATAAATGTCTGTGCTTATTTGGAAGATTCTTTTCATACTCCATCCCCTTGAGATAGTACATCCTCATTATGAACCATTTTATATTCCACGTTGCTGTTAAGTACTGTTGAGTTAGTCCCAACTCACAGTCACCCTGTATAGGGGCTCCAAAGAGAACTGGTGGGTTTGAACAGCCGACCTTGAAGTTCGCAGTCTAGCGCTGATCCTACAGCGCCACACCAGGAGCTTTTCTTGTTTACTATTTTTTAGAATCACATTGAAATGATTACAAACAATCATCTAGAATAATTTCATTTAGACTGTGTACATTATAAGAATATCAGATATTCTTAAACTATTTTTCTTTCCTTCGAGCTCTTTGAGATTTGGTAAGCTCTACTTCTATAGAGAGAACCTCATCCTGGTCCCATCCAGAACATTCCTTCCCTCAAAGGGTCCCTTCTGTGATGTGCTGCTGTAATTTCCCACATATATTACATTTAAAGATTCCTCTTCACTATGGGTTCTTTTGTGCTTGGTAAGATTTGATCGTATATTAAAAGCCTTCCCACACTCTTGACATCTGTATGGCTTCTTTCCAGTGTGAATCCTTTTGTGTTGGTCAAGGACTGATCTATAATTGAAGGATTTCCCACACTCACAATTATAGGGCTGCTTCCCACGGTGGATGCTTTTATGGTTGATAAGACTTGAGTGTGAGATGTATGCCTTCTCACACTCATCACATTCATAGGGTTTTTCACCTGTATGAATTCTTTTATGCACTGTGAGGCCTGAACTGTTTCTGAAGGCCTTCCCACACCAGTCACATATATAGGGCTTCTCCCCTGTGTGGATCCTCTTATGTTGAGAAAGGAGTGAGCTGTAACTGAAAGATTTCCCACACTCAGCACATTTAAAGGGTTTCTCCCCAAGATGGACTCTTTTATGGCTTATAAGAGTTCTACTTGAGAAAAAAGCTTTCCCACATTCATCACATGTAAATGATGTCTTGCCAGGGTGGGTACTTTTATGGTTAATAAGGCTTGAGTGTGAGATGTAGGCTTTTCCACACACATCACATTCATAGGGTTTCTCTCCAGTATGGATTCTTTTATGTACTTTAAGGCTAGAGTTGTTTCTGAAGACCTTCTCACAGCTGTCACATTCAAAGGGTTTCTCTCTAGTGTGGACTCTTTTATGTTGAGAAAGGAGTGAGGTGTAATTAAAAGACTTCTCACAAACATCACACTTGAAGGGCTTTTCACCAAGATGAATTTTTTTGTGGTTTATTAAGGTTCGGTATGTGATGAAGGCTTTGTCACACTCATCACACTTGTAGGGCTTCTCCCCAGGATGCACACTTTTATGGTTTATAAGGCTTGAGAGTGAAATATATGCTTTTCCACATTCTTCACATTTGTAAGGTCTCTCCCCAGTGTGGATTCGTTTATGTACTTTAAGACCTGAATTGTTTCTGAAGGCTTTCCCACACTCATCACATCCAAAGGGTTTCTCCCTAGTATGAATTCTTTTATGTTGCTCGAGGGCTGAGCTGTAATTGAAGGATTTCTCACAATAGCTACATTTATAGGGCTTTTCCCCAAGATGGATTCCTTTGTGATTTTTAAGGCTAGAGCGTGAGATATAGGCCTTCCCACACACATCACATTTATAAGGTTTTTCCCCAGTATGGATCCTTCTGTGAACTTTGAGGCCTGAATTGTTTCTAAAGGTTTTCCCACAAACATCACATACATAAGGTCTCTCTCCAGTGTGAATGGTTTTATGTTGAAGAAGAAGTGAGTTATAACTGAAGGATTTTCCACATTCCTTACATTCATGAGCCTTTTTCCCAGGGTGAATGCTCTTATGGACTGCAAGGCCCGAGCTATAGCTGAATGCTTTGCCACAGACATCACACTTATAAGGTTTCTCTCCTGTATGGATTCTCTTATGCACTATAAGGCCTGAGCTGTTCCTGAATGCCTTTCCACACTCATCACATTCATAAGGTTTCTCTCCAGTGTGGATGACTTTATGTTGAATAAGGAGAGAACTATAATTAAAAGATTTCTCACACTCATCACATTTATAGGGTTTATCTCCAAAGTGGATGCTCTTATGATTTAGAAGTGTTCTGCATGTAATGAAGGCTTTTCCACACTCATCACATTCATAGGGCTTCTCGCCTGTGTGGATCCTTTTGTGGACTCTAAGGCCAGAACTATTACTGAAGGTTTTCCCACAGACGTCACATTCATAAGGCTTCTCCCCTGTGTGGATCCTTTTGTGGACTCTGAGACCAGAACTGTTCCTGAAGGCCTTCCCACACTCACCACATTCATAGGGTTTCTCTCCAGTATGAATCCTTTTATGTTGGTCCAAAACAGAACTATAATTAAAGGATTTTCCACACTCATCACATTTACAGTTCTTCTCTCCAGAATGGGTACTTTTGTGGTTTATAAGGCTGGAGTAGGACATGTAAGCTTTCCCACATTCCTCACACTTGTACGGCTTCTCTCCAGTATGGATCCGTTTGTGGACTCGAAGGCTTGAGCTGCTCCGGAAAGTCCCTCCACAGTCATCACACTCATAGCGTTTTTCCCCAGTGTGCATAATTTTATGTTGAACAAGACGGGAATTATATTTGAAGCATTTCCCACATTCATCACATTTGTGTGATTTCTTAACAGTGCTGGTTTTCTGCTGTAGACTGGGATAAGAGTTTCCATTAATGTTCTCTATACATTTGTCTTGCTCACTGTTTTCCTGTTTTATAGTCTTGAGTGTAACATGTTTTGAGCTCAAATGTGAACATTTTTCAGATGCCTCATTTTCTTGTTCTTTCTTTATATTTACTGTGTTCTTAGCTTTGCCAATCTTTTCCCTGATGCCACTTTTTTCTTCCCTCATTCTTATTTCCTCAATCTTTTCCAACTGATTCTTTACCTTGTTATCTCAAACACAAGTTTCACCAACTTTAGATTTCTGCATATAATCCTTGTGAAAACATTCCATTTTACACCACTTAGATTCTGCAGGTCCAACATTTTAATACTTTTCAGTTGATTCGTCATCCTCAGTGCTCCTCGTCTTCAAATGTGACACTAAACCAAGAAAACAAAAATGATACTGGTTCATTGTTGAGAAGAAATTGGAAAAATTCCATCAAAATTCACATATTTACTTGATAAGTATTTACTTAGTGCAAGCTGTGTAACAGACATCATTTTAAGTACTCAGGATACAGCAGCAGACATGCCAAAATTTCTGCTTCTATGTAGATAACATTAAAATGCTAGAAACACTGAATTTTCAATGGCTTAAGGAGCTTTTCTATTCGTGCATAACAGTTTAGCATGAATGTGGGTGAAAATGGGTTGAAATCAAGGTACAATATTGGTCAGTTTTCTAAGAATGTCATGCAGTTATGGAAAAACAAATGGGGTATAGAAATCAAGGAGAACAGCAAAATAATAATAGGTAAGACAAAAGGTAAGAAGATACAATCAGCAATGGACAACCAAAACTAAAAACGAGGTAAAAACAGTACTGAAGTAGAGTACTAGAGGCACTCACTCATACATGCTAAGAAATTTGGAAGACAGCTACCTGGTCACTGGATTAGAAGAGATCCATACTTGTATTCTTTGCAATGAGCTGTGAACCAATGGAATGTGAAGTTCATCTACCAGTATTATAAACACTACATGGAAGTAAAACTTTGCAGAAATAATTCAAAAACAGCTATAACAGTACATCATGAAAGAACTGTCAGAAACTCAAGTCAGATTTAGAAGAGGACATGGAACTAAGGTTGTCATTGCTGACATCAGACTGATCTTCGCTGAAAGCAATGAATACAAGAAAGGTGTTTATTTGTGCTTTATTGATTATGCAAAGGCTTTCGATTGTGTGGACCATGACAAGCTGGATAACATTTTGAAGAACGGGTATTCCATAACACTTGATTGTGCTCATCAGGAACCTGTACATAGGCCAAGAAGCAGTCATTTAAACAGAATAAGGATACACTGAAAGGTCTAAAATGAGAAATGTGCACTAGGACTGTATTCTTTCACCATACTTACTCAATCTGTATGTTGAGCAAATAATCCTAGAAGCTGGATTACATGAAGAAGCGGGTGACATCAGGATTGGAGGAACACTCATTAACAACCTGTGATATGCCGATGATACAACCTTGCTTGATGAAAGTGAACAGAACCTAAAATACTTAACTAATGAAAACCAAAGATCATAGCCTTCAGTATGGATTGTCCCTCTCTATCTAAAGAAAATAGAAGTCCTCACCACTAGACCAATAAATAACAACATGATAAACGAAGAGAAGACTGAAGCTGTCAAGGACTTCAATTTGCTTGAAGTCTACAGTCAACACTCATGGAACCAGCAGTCAAGAAATCAAACAGCATACGGTGGTGGTGGTAGTGGTGGTGTGCAGTAGAGTTGGCTCCAACTCATAACATCCTGCATAGGGTTTCCAAGGTTGTAAATCTTTATAGGAGCAGAAAGCCTCATCTTTCTTCTACAGAATGGCTGGTAGTTTCAAACTGCTGACCTTGAGGTTAGTAACCCGAGTAGTAACCACTACACTACCAGAGCTACTTAAACAGCATAAAGTAAGTATTGGGCAAATTTACTGCACAAGACCGCTTTAAAGTATTCAAGAGCAAAGGTATTAGTAGCCTCAATGCATGTCAAATTTGGACAATGAAAAATGAAGACTATTGAAGAGTTGATGCATTTCAGCTGTAGTGTAGAAGAATACTGAAAGTACCATAGATTGCTAGACGAACAAACAAATTTGTGTTGGAAGAAGTATAGCCAGAATGCTCCTTAGAAGCTAGGATGACGAGACTTTGTCTCATACTTCAGACATGTTATCAGGAGGAACTAGTCCTTGGAGAAGGACATCATGCTAGGTAAAGTAGTGGGTCAGTGAAAAAGATGAAGACCTCCTAGGCGATGGCACAGTGGCAGCAGCCATGGGCTCATGTATAGCAACAGTTGTGAGGATGGCACAGGATTGGGAAGTGTTTTGTCCTGTTGTGTATAGGATCACTATGAATTGGAGCCGACTCAATGGTATCTAACAATAAGCAGGAGGGATGTCAGGGAAGTGGTTATGAAACCAATGAGATGGCACTATCAGTGATGGGAAAGAAAGCAAGTTTCAGCTACCTGGGGGTGGTCTCGTCTCTTAACTTCTAAGAAAAACACTGACCCTGAAAATGAGCAGTCCTCTTTTATAAGAGAAACTCTATATAGAGAATACTCTGGCCTAACAGGAAAGAGGCTTTCATTCCTATTTATGAACAGGCTAATTGCAGTCGGGGCATATCAAAGATTACAAGCAGAAATACAATCAAGCAAGCAAAAGAAGACTGCCTAGGTTCAAATATCTAGCTGTGCGGCCCTGAAAAAGTTAATCTTTTTGTGCCACAGTTTTTGCCATCTGTAAAATAGGACAATATTGTTACAATTAAATGAGGTAACATATAAAGCACTTAGAACACTGCTTGTAATGTGACGAATGTTACATAAATTTTGTTATTATTTTAGCATTATAATTGCTAATAGCAATTATACTGGACCAGGAGATACTGGAATTTATATTCCAACTATATTGGAATCTGGAGATAAAGCATAGCACTCATGGAAGGTAAGCTCCTTCCCAAAGCAGATTTTAGGGCCTCAGAAGGGATACTCTGTTCACACATAACACCCTGTAGGGACTCTGGAACTCCACCAGCATCCACTAATGAACAGATTGGTCCTCAGAAAAAAACAAAACAAAACAAAAAAAAAACAGTTTTAAACCACTTTAGATGACTAGATATGTACGATCAGATTCTGTTATAATCTGTATCTCCCATTCTTAACCTGGTATCATTCTCTTGTCAGGAATCTGGAATCCTGTAATCCTATTTAGAATCTCTATAGGCAGATGGACATATGAGGAGAAATTAAGGGTAAGAAAAGAAAGAAACACTCTTTTGAGTAAACCAAGAATCACACTCATGATCCAATTTATGCTTATGGAAATGATAAACTTTGAATTAACATTTACAGGACAAGTGAGGAAGCTAGGAACTCAGGATGTTGTTGCTGCTGTTAAGGGCTGTCAAGTCAATTCTGACCCACAGCAACCCTGTGCAAGGTTTCCGAGGAACAATCGGTGAGTTTGAGCCACCGACCTTGCAGTTAGTTCATATTGACTTTGCAGTCCAGTGCATTAACTCACAGCGTCACACCAGGAACTCAGGTTATTGTTGTTATGTGCTGTGGATTCTGTTCCGACTCATAGCAATCCTGTACAGGGTTTCCGAGGCTGTATATCTTCACGGGCGCAGAAAGCCTCATCTTTCTCCCGTGGAACTCAGGTTATCACCAGGAAAATAAAGCATCACTCAGCAGATATTAAAATAAAGAATGGCTCCGAGACAAGCACTGGGCTCCACCCCGCAGAGTACACATCTCATTCCAACGACAGGGTCCACATTCTGGGAACTGAGCAACATACCTCCTCAGCCCCATGTGGCGATCACAACTAACCTACTCCTGGTAGTCATGCCTTCAGGAGATAACAAAGCCTCCCAAGTAAATGTGTACTTGATTCTGCTACTGTAACTGCCTGCTTGCCTGCCCGCTGCTTCCTCCCCACCATATGTTTGAAATAGCAAATACCAGCCTTACACACCTCCCTTCGCCTACTCTGTAATGCCCCGAAGACCCAAATACTATATATAGGCAGGGTCCTCCCTACCAATGGGGCTCAGTCTCTGGATAAGAATCCGCTGAGTCACGTGTTAGCACAATAAAGTCCTTTCTTTATTATAACGTGCAAGGCATTGGCAGTCTTCAGAGAGACTCTGGTAACAGTTCCACTGAGAGAGCACCACAACATTTGCATTAATTATGTATGACCAGAGACAAATGAGGAAATCATGGCACATGCTAGTTTACCTACACCCATTTTATTATCACTTTGGGCAGAGTAGTGAATGTTCATTCAAATGTTGAGGGCTACTAGTAGGTAGTACAATTCTAAGCGTCAACAACACCACCTTTAATCTGTGTGCTGAATCCTACTCTCACATCATATCAAAAACCCTGGCCCATCCATTTCCCCTTCAGCTTTGGCCCTTCCACACCTACTGGCTCTGTTTTCAGGACAAGAATATGATCAAGTTTCTACAGCTATAAAACTAAATCCTATAAACATAAATTGTTGTTAAGTGTTGTTGAGTCGATTCTGACCCATAGTATTCCTGTATAGGGTTCCAAGGGGCAGCTAGTGAGTCTGAACCACCAACCTTGCAGTTCAAGTGACTTTGCAGTCTGAAGCATTAGCCCACAGTGCCACACAAGAACGCTATAAACACACACGCACAAACTGCTAAGGAAAAAGAGTGAGAGCTAAGAGTATAGGCTAGCCATACCAGATATTAAAGTATACTACAAAGCCCCTAAGTTCAAATCATGTAGTGCTTGTATATGCATAGACAGATGGACTTCAGTGGCCTTAAGGTTAGTGGCACCTGTAGCTTCAGCTGCTGGCACATGCCCTACCTGGTCACCCGGCTGGGCTGCAGTTGGCTCTGGGGAGAGCACCATACACTTAGAAGAAGGCAATCGCAGCTACAAGTTTGCAAACACCAAGACTCTGGGTGCTAATGGAAAGCTAGAGCAACTTGTACCGGGTTTACTTTGATATATACTTATCACTACATATAAACATACAAAGGGGCATCAAAAAATTTTATGGAAAAACTCCATTATTAATCAATTCCATTTCCCTATGAAATTTTTGAAACCCTCATATATACTATTTGGTGTCTGCATAATATCCAATTTACGTAATGTCCTATCTCATCAACATATGTTGGGATGTTTAGTGTTGTATACCTACCTGTACAGCTTTAAAAAATTTTTTTATTCTTTTTTATTGTGGATTGAGTGTTTACAGGGCAGATCATCAGTTTTACATTCAACAAATTATACACTTTGTTTCATTACAATGATTATAATCCCCTCCATGTACCATCAGTTAACAGTATTCCTCTCTATTCACTTTA